AAAAAAAAAAAAAAAAAGTACTGTGGCATTAAAAGTACCATTCACATTTTGCACAGTCATCACCACCAGCCATCTCAAGAACTTTTCATCTTTCCCAACTAAAATTCTGTACCCGTTAAGCACTAATTCCCCATTCTTCCCTCTCTCTAGTTCTTGGCAAGCACCATCCTACTTTTCCTTGTCTGTGAATTTGACTATTCTAGGTACTTCATATAAGTGGAATCATACAATATTTGTCCTTTTGTGACTGGCTTATTTCACTTAGCATAACGGAGAAGAGAGTAATTTCAAGAGGTAGAGACCAATAGTATGAAATGCTAAATAGAATTCAAATAAGGATTGAAGGTTATTATTGGTAGAATGTGGCATTTGGGACACTAGGGACCTGAGTAAAATCTTTCATGGATATAATGGAAGAGAGAAAAATCAGGTTGCAATTAGTTGAGAAATGATTGGTAGGAAAGGAAGTACAGACTGTTCTTTGGTCAGTATAAAAAGGAAGTGGGTGTGGGGGGCTAGGGATTACAGTGGTGGGAAGGGTTTTATTTTTTAAGATGATAAGGGATTTGACCATGCCTATAAGCTGAGTAGGGCTAGGAGTGGCTGAGAAATGGGATATAAAAGAAGGAGCAAGTACTAGAAGTCCTGATGAAGTTAAAAGAGCATATGTGGCAGAGTAAGAAAGCTAGAATAAGTGAGAGAATTGTATATCAGAGTTTAAAATTTTGGTGGTAAAGCATTTTAGGAAGTATTCATTAATAATTTAATCTTTTCTGGTGTGTTCATTGTTTGCTATGATGATTTTTCATTTATTTTTAATAAAGATGATCAGGATAAGAAGGTGGAACCTCTCATGGCACCGTCAAAAAAGCAAGAATCATTACCCCTGCATCAAGAGACTAAACAAGAAGGTGGATCAGGAAAGAAGAAGGTTTCATCAAAGAAGCAAAAGACTGAAAATGGTGAAATGTGTAGATACGTATTTTATAAATACTAATTCTAGAAAAGTCCACTAGGACAAGGAACCTAGAGACCTCACATGCTCTTTAATTTCCAGCTTAATGTGTACCATAACAGCTTCAAAACTAATACAAGCCCATTGTGCTTTGACAGATGGTTAGGGTATAAGTTTGTGGTGAAGACCTTTATATGAAGTTTATAAAAGGACAGAAGCATTTATAAATATTCTCATTCTTAACTGTGTTTTGAAAATAATGTTAATAGCATACAAACTCTATAGAAGAAAAGTATTCCTGAAATATTTGTACTTTTTAATATCACATAAAGATTATGCTTGAGAACATTAGTTAAATTTGTCATTGCCCTACATTCCTAATTATTTGTTAAACATAATTTGCATGTGTGTATGAGAAGCATCCAGTTAAAAGTGATGGAGCAATTTTTATCTGTTCCGAATTGTCCACAGAAGACTTAGCTATGAAATTTACGTAGATTAAACAGTGATTTTTATAATATTGGGCTGTGATATCAACTAGTGCTAGAAAATAGTAAAATTGGAAAGGGAAAAGATGAAATTCTGTTATTTGCATTAAAATTATGATATATCAAGCAATCAGGTATAGAAAAATATTATCACAAAATATTTGTTAATATTAAATATTTATTATAGATTTTAAATGAAAGAACTGTATGTGCCCCAGAGTTTTTTTTTTTAAGGTAGGGATATAGATAGACTTCCATATGGGTATGGAAGTTTGTGTCTCTAACCAACAGATATCAGACTTCAGTATTCAAACTTTTCCCATTAAAATTAGGAACAAAGTAAGAAGCCTTCCTTCTTCCACTTTTAATGTGGTTCTGGAAGTTTTAACTAGTGTAGTAAGATGTACCATATAAGTTAGAGGCATAACTATTAGAAATGAGAAGATATCTGCAAGGAACAGTGACTAATTTTGTATCTAGCAAGGAAAAAAACTCAGAAATTACCAATTGGAATAAGAGGTCAGTAAAGTACCAACATACATTAAAAATTAATAGTTTTCCTTGAGCACTAATTAAATGTGAATGGATTCTTAGTTAAATCAGGAGAAACATGAGAACTAACTAAAATGTATAGGGATGTATAAGAAGAAATTTTCAGATACTATTAGAGGAGATGTGTGATACACTTTAGGTAACCTAAATGATATGCTATAAAATAATATTGAACTGGTATTTCTTAATTAGAAGAGTGTTGAGTTGTTAAATGATAAAATAGGAATTTAAAGCCAAATTGAGCTGGTATTAGAGATTTGAAAATAACTGCATTTATCATTAAACTTAATTGTGCTTACATGTTATTTAATTACTCTGTTATAAAAAATGCTGAGTAATTATGATTTTGTTGAACTTAAATTACAGTCTTGGTAGATGAACCCCTTATTCATGCAACAACTTATATTCCTTTGATGGATAATGCTGATTCAAATCCTGTGGTGGATAAGAGAGAGGTTATTGATCTGATTAAACCTGACCAAGTAGAAGGAATTCAGAAAACAGGGGCTAAAAAACTGAAGATTGAAGCTGATAAAGGTAAGATACAGAATGTGACAATCTTTTGTATTGAAAAAAACACATTTTTGAGTTCTGATGGAGTGAGTGTGTTTTCTCATAGAAGCAATGAATTGCAAAAGACTAATAGAATCTTTATATATCTAGTAAAAGATTTATTGGTAGTTTTCTAATCCACCTTCTCAGTTTTGTAGAGCTGGACATTAGACTTTGACTTGCCTAAAGTTTCATAGCTGTTTTGCTGTCGGGTAATCTGTTCCCTTCTATTATTGTCTCTCAGAGTTTTCTATGCTAATTCACAACAGCCTTATTATTATTATTATTACTATTATTATTATTGTTGTTATTATTTTGGCCGAGTCACATGGCTTGTGGGATCTTAGTTCCCCAACCAGGGGTTGAACCGGGGCCCACGGCAGTGAAAGTGCTGAGTCCTAGCCACTGGACCACCAGGGAACTCCATATTATTTTTTTAATAGTTTTTTTTTTTTTTTTTGACAGCACTTTTAGGTTCATAGCAAAATTGAGTGGAAAGTACAGTTTCCATATACCCCTTGTTCTCATACATGCACACAACTGCCTTTTTAAACTTATAATGTAGCTGAAGTATTAAAAGCTCTGGGCACCTTGGGGTCTAATGGGTGGCAGTTGCTTTTAATGAGAGGCAGCTGTTGCCTAATATAAGAACCCTAGGGGAATCGAAGTGGGTGAGTCAGGAGATGTTTGGCACATGGATTTTTAAAATGTCAGGATTGCTGTATATACTTGATGTTTGTAAAATCAGACTTCCTTTTTGTAATTGTCTTCGAGCTTATTTTCTCATCTGTAAAATTTGGTTCATAAGTCCTAAGTATTACAGTTAAATGAGAGTATTTGTGAACATATTTAGTATAGATACTACCATATATTAGACATTTGCATTTCTTTTTTTTTTAAGTAAGGGTATACTGGCACTTTAATATTCTGCAGTTTGGATACAAACCACTATATACATAGAATGGATAAACAACAAGGTCCTACTGTGTAGCCCAGGGAACTATGTTCAGTATCCCATGATAAACCATAATGGAAAAGAATCTAAGAAATAATGTATATATATATATATATATATATATATACATATATGTATAACTGAATCACTTTGCTGTACAGCAGAAATTAACACAACATTGTAAATCAACTATATTTTTCCAATTAAGAAAACAAAAAATATTCTGCAGGTTGAGCAAATTTTTATTTAATGTAATTATTCCATATTATATTAAAAATGATAAACACTTTTTCTCTGTGGACTAGAGCATTAATTGTTGTTTGACCTGAAATGTAAATCTGTTTTCTCTTGGTTACTGACTTTCTGGGTCAAGAATTCTTGGTGCTTTACCTTTGCTGAAGTTGTTACTTATATCTTTTAAATGTTAACTTTCTTTTTTTTAAAGAGAATGCTGAAGTAAAATTTAAAGATTTTCTTCTGTCCTTGAAGACTATGATGTTTTCTGAAGATGAGGCCCTTTGTGTTGTAGACCTGCTAAAGGAAAAGTCTGGTGTGATACAGGATGCTCTAAAGAAGGTAAGCATATTTTAGATTATGAGCCTATTTGAGGGCAGTGATTAGACGTTCACCAAGCAAGACTTCTGCTAGAGCAATAAGTTATAACCTACTCCCATCCTTCATACCCCGAAAGCACTTAGTGACATTTAAAAGTTCTGGAATGCCTTCAGAAGTTATTTCATATATCCATACTAATCAGTATACTTATTTAGTTCAGTCAGGTGTCCGAGTCATCTGAGGTTTTGACAAAAATGAATTGCTTATAATAAGATGATTTATTTAACTTTAAACTCATTTGGCACTTGGCTAAGTTGTACCTTGCTTTCCTGTGAATGTAGGTGCTGAAGGCAAGGTCGGGTGATTTCTGGATAGCATATGGAATGTTTTTGTGACTGAAGATAGCACCGTTCAAAGCACCTGGGCATCTTTTTTGCGTGTGTGTGTGTGTGTATAGAATACTACTGTTCTAAAGTAAATGCTTTGAATGATAGAATCATTGCTATGACTGACTAAAATTTGAAAAAAACAAAGCCATGAGCTAATATTTAATTTCTCATTATATTACACTCACTATTATCAGGTGTACTATCTATCTCATATTGGGAAATGGTGACAAGTTTTTAAGTGTTACTTTGTGTGAGATAAGATGACATGGTATCTGGTGTTCAATATTAGATTGTGGACGTGACCATTCTTATTTTAAACACACATACACACACACTCCTAACACACTTTTCTGCCTTAAAACCTTTAGTGGCTTCCATTTATTTATTTTTTCCCATCTTTATTGGAGTAATTGCTTTATGGTGTGTTTCTGCTGTACAACAAAATGAATCAGCTATATGTATACATATATCCCCATATCCCCTCCCTCTTGAATCTCCCTCCCACCCTCTCTATCCCACCCCTCTAGGTGGTCACAAAGCATGGAGCTGATCTCCCTGTGTGATGCAGCTGCTTCCCACTAGCTATCTGTTTTACATTTGGTAGTGTATATATGTCGATGCTACTCTCTCACATCGTCCCGGCTTACTCTTCCCCCTCCCCATGTCCTCAAGTCTGTTCTCTACTTCTACATCTTTATTCCTGTCCTACCTCTAGGTTCATCAGAACCATTTTTTTTTTTAGATTCCATATATATGTGTTAGCATACAGTATTTGTTTTTCTCTTTCTAACTTATGTCACACTGTATGACAGACTCTAGGTCCATCCATCTCTACAAATAACTGTTTCATTTCTTTTTATGGCTGAGTAATATTCCATTGTATGTATGTGCCACATCTTTATCCATTCATCTGTTGATGGACACTTAGGTTGCTTCTATGTCCTGGCTATTGCAAATAGTGCTGCAGTGAACATTGTGATACATGACTCTTTTTGAATTATGGTTTTCTCAGGGTATATGCCCAGTAGTGGGATTGCTGGGTCGTATGGTAGTTCTATTTTTAGTTTTTTAAGGAACCTCCATACTGTTCTCCATAGTGGCTGTATCAGTTTACATTCCCAGCAACAGTGCAAGAGGGTTCCCTTTTCTCCACACCCTCTCCAGCATTCACTGTCTGTAGATTTTTTGATGATGGCCATTCTGACCAGTGTGAGGTGATACCTCATTGTAGTTTTGATTTGCATTTCTGTAATGATTAGTGATGTTGAGCATCTTTTCATGTATTTGTTGGCAATCTGTATGTCTTCTTTGGAGAAATGTCTATTTAGGTCTTCCGTCCATTTTTGGATTGGGGTGTTTGTTTTTTTGATATTGAGCTGCATGAGCTGCTTGTATATTTTGGAGCTTAATCCTTTGTCAGTTGCTTCGTTTGCAAATCTTTTCTCCTATTCTGAGGGTGGTCTTTTCATCTTGTTTATGGTTTCCTTTGCTGTGTAAAAGCTTTTAAGTTTCATTAGGTCCCATTTGTTTATTTTTATTTCCATTCCTCTAGGAGGTGGGTCAAAAAGGATCTTGCTGTGATTTATGTCATAGAGTGTTCTGCCTTTGTTTTCCTCTAAGAGTTTGATAGTTTCTGGCCTTACATTTAGGTCTTTAATCCATTTTGAGCTTATTTTTGTGTATGGTGTTAGGAAGTGTTCTGATTTCATTCTTTTACATGTAGCTATCCAGTTTTCCCAGCACCACTTATTGAAGAGGCTGGATTTTCTCCATTGTATATTCTTGCCTCCTTTGTTAAAGATAAGGTGATCATATGTGCGTGGGTTTATCTCTGGGCTTTCTATCCTGTTCCATTGGTCTATCTTTCTGTTTTTGTGCCAGTACCATACTGTCTTGATTACTGTAGCTTTGTAGTATAGTCTGAGGTCAGGGAGCCTGATTCCTCCAGCTCTGTTTTTCCTTCTCAAGATTACTTTGGCTATTCGGGGTCTTTTGTGTTTCCACATGAATTGTAAAATTTTTTGTTCTAGTTCTGTGAAAGATGCCATTGGTAATTTGATAAGGATTGCACCGAGTCTGTAGATTGCTTTGGGCAGTATAGTCATTTTCACAATGTTGATTCTTCCAATCCAAGAACATGGTCTATGTCTCCATCTGTTTGTATCGTCTTTTATTTCTTTCATCAGTGTCTTCCCCCCCCCCCCCCCGTCAGTTTCTTATAGTTTTCTGCATACAGGTCTTTTGCCTCCTTAGGTAGGTTTATTCCTAGGCATTTATTGTTTTTGTTGCAGTGGTAAATGGGAGTGTTCCCTTAATTTCTCTTCCTGATTTTTTGTTGTTAGTGTATAGGAATGCAAGAGATTTCTGTGCATCAATTTTGTATCCTGCTACTTTACCAGATTCATTGATTAGCTCTAGTAGTTTTCTGGTGGCATCTTTATGATTATCTGTATATAGTATCATATCATCTGCAAACAGTGACAGCTTTACTTCTTCTTTTCCAGTTTGGATTCCTTTCATTTCTTTTTCTTCTCTGATTGCTGTGGCTAAAACTTCCAAAACTATGTTGAATAATATTGGTGAGAGTGGGCACACTTGCCTTGTTCCTGATCTTAGAGGAAATGCTCTCAGTTTTTCACCATTGAGAATGATGTTGGTTGTGGGTTAGTCATATATGGCTTTTATTATGTTGAGGTAGGTTCTCTCTGCGCCCACTTTATGGAGAGTTTTTATCGTAAGTGGGTGTTGAATTTTGTCATAAGCTTATTCTGCATCTATTGAGATTATCATATGGTTTTTATCCTTCACTTTGTTAATATGGTGTATCACATTGATTGATTTGCATATATTGAAGAATCCTTGCATTCCTGGGATAAACCCCACTTGATCATGGTGTGTGATCCTTTTTATGTGCTGTTGGGTTCTGTTTGCTAGTATTTTGTTGAGGATTTTTACAGCTGTGATCATCAGAGATATTGGCCTGTAATCTTTTTTTGTGACATCTTTGTCTGGTTTTGGTATCAGGGTGATGGTGGCTTTGTAGAATGAATTCGGGAGTGTTCCTCCCTCTGCTGTATTTTGGAAGAGTTTGAGAAGGATAGGTGTTAGCTTTCTTCTCTACATGTTTGATAGAATTCACCTGTGAAGCCATCTGGTCCTGGGCTTTTGTTTGTTGGAAGATTTTTAATCACAGGTTCAATTTCATTACTTGTGACTGGTCTGCTCATATTTTCTGATTCTTCCTCATTCAGTCTTGGAAGGTTGTACTTTTCTAAGAATTTGGCCATTTCTTCCAGGTTGTCCATTTTATTGACATATAGTTGCTTATAGTAGTCTCTCATGATGTTTTGTATTTCTGCAGTGTCAGTTTTTTCTCCTTTTTCATTTCTAATTCTATTGATTTGCATCTTCTCTCTTTTTTTCCTGGTGAGTCTGGCTCATGGTTTATCAGTTTTGTTTATTTTCTCAAAGAGCCAGCTTTTAGTTTCATTGATCTTTTCTGTTGTTTCCTTCATTTCTTTTTCATTTATTTCTGATCTGATCTTTATGATTTCTTTCCTTCTGCTAACTTTGGGGTTTTTCTGTTCTTTCTCTCATTGCTTTAGGTGTAAGGTTAGGTTGTTTGAGATGTTTCTTGTTTCTTGAGGTAGGCTTACATTGCTATAAACTTCCCTCTTAGAACTGCTTTTGCTGCATCCCATAGGTTTTGGGTCTTCGTGTTTTTACTGTCATTTGTCTATAGGTATTTTTTGATTTCCTGTTTGATTTCTTCAGTGATCTGTTGGTTGTTTAGTAGCGTATAGTTTAGCCTCCATGTGTTTTTATTTTTTACAGTTTTTTTTCCCTGTAATTGATATCTAGTCTCATAGTGTTGTGGTCAGAAAAGATGCTGATACTATTTCAGCTTTCTTAAATTTACTGAGGCTTGATTTGTGACCCAAAATGTGATTTATCCTGGAAAATGTTGCTTGTGCACTTGAGGAGAAAGTGTATTTTGTTGTTTTTGGATAGAATGTCCTATAAATATCAAATTATTAAGTCCATCTGGTCTAATGTGTCATTTAAAGCTTGCGTTTCCTTCTTTATTTTCTGTTTGGATGATCTGTCCATTGGTGTAAGTGGGGTGTTAAAGTCCCCTACTATTATTGTGTTACTGTTGATTTCTCCTTTTATGGCTGTTAGCATTTGCTTTATGTACTGAGGTGCTCCTGTGTTGGGTGTATAGATATTTCTAATTGTTATATTTTCTTCTTGGGTTGATTCCTTGATCATTATGTAGTGTCCTTCCTTGTCTCTTATAATAGTCTTTATTTTAAAGTCGGAAGTCTGATTTGTCTGATGTGAGTATTGCCTCTCCAGTTTACTTTTGATTTCCATTTTCATGGAATGTCTTCTTCCATTCCCTCACTTTCAGTGTGTATTGTCCCTAGGTCTGAAGGGGTCTCTTGTAGACAGCGTATAATATGGGTCTTGTTTTTGTATCCATTCACCCGGTCAGTGTCTTTTTATTTTAATGATTGCTTGTTTGCTTCCTTGCTTGCTAGCTTGTTTGTTTGTTTGTTTATTTATTTATTTATTTATGGCTGTGTTGGGTCTTCATTGTTGTGTGCAGTTTTCTTTAGTTGCGTTGAG